CACATGAACAGGTCTCAGTCCATCACAGAGACACATGGACAGGTCTCAGTCCATCACAGAGACATATGGACAGGTCTCAGGGACAGTGTTTCCAGTCACCACTGAACCTGAGCTGCAGGTTTCTGGAGTGTTGGAGGAACCTGCAGAAAGCCTGCATGTCCCTTAGAGGGCAGCAGAGGAGGAAACATCTGGAAGCAGTTTGACGCCAACAGAAAGTTTTTCATGACCACACAACCTCCATCCTCAGCTCTGCTGCTCGAGCCACAGAGACAGTTTTCTAACAAATGTGTCTCATTTAAATAGAAATAAACAAAATGCCCAACACACTGAGACTCAGTGTTACAACAAGAAATAATTGATCAAAAAAAACAACAACACAAAAGTCTTTACTTTGTTTGCTTCATGCAGTTTCCTGCTTACATCAATCAGCAGTGGGGGTGGGTTTACAATGAACTGAAGCAAAGCTGTAAAGAAGAGTGGGTTAAAGTTCTGCTAAATGGGTACTGAGTCGGTAAAACTGCTTCTGTTTAGTAAACAACAACACTCCAGTGTCTGTTGTTTATCTGAGCTGTATTTGAGTTGTTTTATACACAGTAGTGAGTACTTTTTACTAGGTTGTGAAACTGTGGAACTAGAAGAGGAGGACATGGTGGGCCCTGCAGACACTGCTTCATGAAAAGCTTTAGAATGAACATTTAGCTTTAAACTCTTTAATGTCAGCAGGAGCAGCTGGGCCTTTAACAAACTGACAGAAAGGATAAAGTGGGGTGGGGTGTTCAATGGTGGGCCTGATCGACAGTCCTTCATCAGAGCTAAAAAAAAAATTGAAATAAAAAATTGAAATAAAAAATCTGAAGCTCCCACGTGGAATAGTTTTGAGTTCTAAGTATTTATGTGTGTCCAGAAACCCCCTTTTAGATGGAGCCCCCTGCTTAGATATGGGGTGTATCATCATATAAAACTGTTGGTGCAGTGTAGGTCAGACACATCTACATTCATGCCAAATTTCATGTTGATTGGTGCAGCCATTTCTGTGGTACGGTTGACCAAAAAGCACTGAAAAATAAAATAATACTAATAAAACAAACAGTACAAAAGCAATGTGACCCCCRGATTGTGTCCAGGGGTCATTAATGTACGTGCAATGTTGTGATATGTAAAGAGAGAGAGAGAGCCCATCTTCATAGGTTTTAAACGTATTCCTCCAAATGAAATTAAAATTTTACTTATTAATAGGTTTTTCCATCTTGTTTGATACAGGAAGGGAATGAGATAAATCTGGAGAGACTGTCCATCTTAATCAACTTACATTTGTCAATATTATTCTAAATATTTACCTCATCTGAAAACTGTATGATCTTTTCCTGTGATTTTTCTTAGAATAATTACAGATTATTCTAAGTAATTTAGCTCTTTTTAAAATTGTATGTTAAATAGTGATTGTAGCAGGTGGTCCTTCAGGGAAAACAGCTTACATTTATTTAAGCTGAGTCAAAATCCAGAGGTCTTATAAAACAAATTTATGGTTTGAAGAGCAGCAGGGATTCTTCATTCTTTAAGAACTGGAGGTGTCATCCTCCAGTTGACTTATTTATTTATTATTTGCCCAAAACATCAGGCCCTGCTGTTCCACAGTTTTTATCTGTAGTGTGGACAGCATCTCTGTRTAATATGGGTGAACTTCCACGAACCTGCCTGATTTCTGTCTTAATAAAATTCCTGATTTTTTTTCCATATCCTAAATGACTAAAGATAAATGTGTGTTCAACAGAGTCAAATGCTTTGTAGAAACCTAAGAAAAGAATAAACACAGTTTGGTCAATCAAGTCATTATAATATATTAAGTCTAAAACAAGTCTAATATTATTATGAATAAATCTTCCTGATTGAGTTTCTCTAATTATACCTGAAATACCTCCAGTCGCAATAGCCCCAACCACTTTACAGGTTGGGAGTCCCTCCTCTAAAGAAGGGAGTGTTATTTCCCCCTACAGTCCTTGAACGCACCACTCCGCAGGGAGTCCCTCCTCCAAAGAAAGGAGTGTTATTTTCCCCTACAGTCCTTGAACGCACCACTCCACAGGTTGGGAGTCCCTCATCTAAAGAAGGGAGTATTATTTTCCCATACAGTCCATGAACGCACCACTCCGCAGGTTGAGTGAGAAGGGGTTTTCGGCGGAATCAAAGTGGGCGTGTCTAAAGCATAAACACTGTGGGCTACCAGGCCTACATGAYGGTATYCTTAGATCCTGCTTGATCTCTTTACAGCCTGACCCTGACCCCAACATTAAGGTTAACCAGGARAAATGTGACCCAAGTAGGGTTCTCCAGAAAAAGTGGTGCCAAACAGTAACGCCCCTTTTTTGCTTGTCCAGTCAGGTGTTTCCTTTAACAAAGTCCGTCAAATCAGGTGTGTCGCTTTAGAATCGCCTTTCCTTGTGACACGCCCACTCGTCCGCAGAAACCTCTACTTCGGTCGAGTCCCTCCTCTGAAGAAGGGAGTGTTATTTTCCCCTACAGTCATTGAACGCACCACACCGCAAGTTGGGAGTCCCTCTTCTAAAGAAAGGAGTGTTACTTTCCCCTACAGTCATTGAACGCACCACACCGCAAGTTGGGAGTCCCTCTTCTAAAGAAAGGAGTGTTACTTTCCCCTACAGTCATTGAACGCACCACACCGCAAGTTGGGAGTCCCTCTTCTAAAGAAAGGAGTGTTACTTTCCCCTACAGTCATTGAACGCACCACACCGCAGGTTGGGAGTCCCTCTTCTAAAGAAAGGAGTGTTACTTTCCCCTACAGTCATTGAACGCACCACACCGCAGGTTGGGAGTCCCTCTTCTAAAGAAAGGAGTGTTACTTTCCCCTACAGTCATTGAACGCACCACACCGCAGGTTGGGAGTCCCTCTTCTA